CTTAGGTGTGAGCCAGAGGACTGTGGGATGGTAGTGCATGCTATCCAGTGTAGGGTGACAGAAAATAAACACAAACCTATGCAGGCATTAGCAAAAAATCAGCTAGGGTTTTAGAAGTGACAAGGTATAAAAATAGTATGTGGCTACAGAGAAACTGCTAAAAATGCAAAGGATGGTGCATAATTATTTCCTTCTAAAGAGTACTGCATGAAAAGGGAGAGTACAATTTTACAGTGAAGAAATCTGGCAAACACTACCTTATCCAAGTAATGAAGGTCAACATCAAGAGGGATAAGTCATCTTGATTACACATACACTTGATGTGATCTGATGAGAACGGCACTTACCTCTGTGGTTGTCTTCATCCATTTGTGCTGCTATAGCAAAATGCCATAGATTGAGTAATTCACAAAGAAGATAAATTAATTTTCTCATAGTTCTGGAGGCAGGGATTTCCAAGATCAAGGCATTGGCAGGTTCACTTGTCTGCTGAGGGCTTTTGCTTCCAAATTGGTACTTTGCTGATCCTCTGAAGGGAAAGAACACTGTTTCTTCACATGACAGAAGGTACAGAAGGGTTGAAAAAGGGCTAAATCTATGAGAAGCTTCTTTTATAAGGGCTTTAATTTCATTTATGAAGGGAGAAACCCTCATGGCCTAATCAACTCTTAAAGGCCTCACCTTTCAATACTATCATCCATTAAGTTTTAACATGTAAATTTTGGAAGGGACACATTTAAACCAGAGTAGTGGCCTTTCTCTTAACCATTGTCTAACTATGAGAAAAACATCAGACAACCCTAATTTAAAAATATTATATAACATACATGACCAGTACTCCTCAAAACGTTCAAAGTCATCACAAAGTAAGAATTATTAAAACCACATGAAGTCTCAGAAACAATTATAGTCTAAAGGAACGAACCTAAAAAGACATGTAGACCAAATGTAGCATAGTATTCTCAATGAAATCCTAGAAGAGAAAAAGGATGTTAGGCAAAAACTAAGAAAACTGGACTAAAGTATGAGCATTACTTAGTGTATCAATATATCTTTAATAGTTGTAACAAAGGTATGAAAAGAAAATAAGTGCAGGTATAAGAATTCTGTACTATTATTGTAACTTTTCTGTAGATCTAAAATTATTCTAATATAAAAAGTTTATTAATAATTATTTAATGAAATAATGAAAAGAAATTAGGAAAGATACTCAGGCAGACATCAGAGAGATGAAGTTATGGAATAAAGATGAAAACTTTGAGACTGATGCCAGGGGAATTGGCAAAAACTCAAATGGGGTTTTGGTCAGGAATTGGGAAATGTTTTCTGTAAAGGGACAGTGAGTATGTATTTTTAGCTTTGCAGGCCATGTAGTCACTGTAAATACTCAATTCTGCCATTGTAAGATAATGGTAGCCACAGACAATCCATAAACAAATGGACATGACTGTTTAATAAAATTTGTTTACAAAGACAAGTGATGATCTAGATTTTGTCTCTGGATTAGGGTTTATCTCTTGTAGCTACTAGATCTACTGCAATGAAACTCCAGGGAATTAAGACAGAAACAGGGAAAATAGGACAAGAATTCAGTTATTATAACTGGAACTTAAAACAGGGATTGATTAAAAATGCACATGGTCCTAATAGCCTGAGCAGTGGTACAAATCAGAGAGGTTTATTGTGAGTTGTCAGAATTATTGAATATGGCTCTTTAAATTCCCTTGACTGAGAACATGATCTGCTCCAGAGGATACTAAGAAGGCAGACAGGCACAGAGCCTGCAGCCATTTTCTCTGACCATTACCTAGAAAGCAGATTGTTCTGTATTGTTGATCAAGCTCAATCAGTGTTCAACCACATTAATAAAACACCTTTTTTCTCCCTACCAAATACCTGTAGGAAATGTGCTCTGCTTATTGCTCAGGATCACAAATCAATTATTCTCCGAATCATAGTAGGCAGACAAATGTTTGCCCTTTTTGCTGCCACAGTTTAAGAATCTAAGAAAGGGCTAGTTCTTTCTCAAAGACTCAATTAGTCTGTTGCCCATTTTTTCAGAAATGAAGACACAGCGATATTGATAATGTGATATACACATGGGCTGAACTAAAGCATGTAGATGCTTCATTTAATATAGTCTTCACCCTGTATATCATGCTTTGATTGGGCTATCCCTCTCATTCTCATCAATCACACAGAGCTTCTCAAAAGCACAGCATGTGACCAGAGGAGAGTCAAGAACTGTGGGCACACTTTTGAGCCTTCTGAGGGCCAAAACTTTGCATCATCTCAAACCCTATTTGACCTGAAGCACTATACTAGGAACTACCTGTTAAAACAGGCATTATAAGACCTGGGTGACACACAAATTTCCCTTTGCCAGTTAACCCATTGGCATGAAGTTCTCTGCTAGCTTCATTGCAATCCAACTCTTAGTATTGACAAGAGGAACTACCAATACTCAGAGGTATATGAAGAAAATTGCTTAAAATTGGGATACAGTAGAACAGTAGCCCTGAATAGTCAGGTATTTAGAAGTGTCCTCTAGGGCACAGAGAGGTGAAAGGTGAGTGCTTAAAACATAAGAGAAATACCAGCTAAAAACTCATGCCTGGAGGTAACACAGACTCTATGTAATCTAGGGGGCAATTGCTGATCACATGAACATCAATCCCTCTGTCTCATTCATATCTATTAGATAAAGTTAAATACTACTTGAAACTCTTAAAATGTTTTATAGAGCAACTGTTTTTTCCACAATTCTTACAGCTTTATTAGTATATTTTACAGCTTTATTAGTAATTTGAAAAATTATTTCCATTTTTCAGATAACAGAAATATGATTGGCCCACAAAATATATTATTTACCTATGAAATAGACATCATATTGGTACTTTTGAGACAGTTTAACTTATATTTATAAATGTGTGTCCTTGGTGAGAATTGGAATGATAGAATAAGAGCACAAACTTTTCTTCAGATTCTTTAATCTAAAAGAACAACAGACATCAACATTCGTACTACATTTCTTAAATGTTTGACATATTTTACGGCCAAGGTGAACAGAAGAGAATGAGACCTGACAAAGATCAGATACTGTTATTTCAAGGAAATAAAACAAATCGATTGAAGGTCAGCATGCCATTAGAATCCAAACTATTAATAATTCAGGACTGAACTTACATTTTAAGAACTATTAGTCTGATTATTTTACTAAACAATGTAAAAAATGTATGCCCAAGCTATACTCTTATTTATTCTTTTTGTTGTGTTATGTGTGCCTTTAAGGGTATTTTCAGGCTTCCTTCATAACTATATCTGAAAAAAAACTTACAGTTATTGTTACAACACATTACAAGACTACACCATAAAGGAAGTTCACCCATGTGGTTTACAATCAGTAACTTTTTTCTTTATTCCTCAGATGTCTCAAGGTTAAAATGGAAAAAACTTTTGATGGCAGAGGGTGGAGGTCTCAAAATAAAATGTGTCTAGTAGAAGAAGAGGAGGCTACTAAATCCCTGAAAATGTCAGGAAGTGGGTCATAGCACTTACAGTAAGGTCAGCAATCTCCCAGGGTGCCTACAAAACACTGGTAGAAACTTTCTTTAAAAAATGTTCTAAGCTAGAGCTGTGGCTGTCTTGTCATAATTTTTATATTTATCCCTAAAAATCAATGGGCAGAATTAGGGGATGTGATTCTGATTACAGTTAAATTTCTAAGAAACTGAATGCCCTTGTATAAACCAACTTAGACTTTCTAGAATTCAGTTTCTTCATTGTTAAATTTAAAAGTTTGAACTATATCGGTATTTTTCAACTTGACAGCATACTTGTAGTTTTTAATGGTATATAAGGCTGTGAGTAACAGAAATCAGATAACTTTAGCAAAAATTAGGTTTTACTTGGTGATTCGATTTGATCACAGCATTAATAGAAGCTACATAACCAAACTGAAGGAGAGGCATGGATAAAGGAAGCTTGGAAATTCTTAGTAGCTGGAGTTTGTAGATCTTTTTTGTTCCTGTTACTGCAATGAGGATGACAGCCTCAGGGATCTTTGGTCTTTGGTTTACTCCATTCAGACATAAAATTCTAGAGAAAGAATCTACGTAGGCTCTAGTGGGTCAAAAGTCTATCATTATGTGATACAGCTGTTGACCAAGGGTACAGAATCTTGTAGCACAGATTTACCTTTGGAGATCCACCCCTGTGAAAATGCAAACAAAACTGTTAATAATTCCCTACACTCAAACATGCCCAATCTAATATAATTCTGGTGTGATCCTTCTATTTTCATAATACTGTCATAAAGTCACTCACATTCTGTCCAATAGGAGACAACACCTTTTTTTTTTTTGAAACAGAGTCTCGCTCTGTCACCAGGCTGGAGAGCACTGGCATGATCTCAGCTCACTGCAACCTCCACCTCCCAGGTTCAAGGGATTCTTCTGCCTCAGCCTCCCGAGTGGCTGGGACTACAGATGTGCACCACCATGCCCAGATAATTTTTGTATTTTTAGTAGAGACATTTCACCATGTTGGCCAGGATGGTCTTGACCTCGTGATCCGCCCGCCTTGGCCTCCCAAAGTGTTGGGATCACAGGTGTGAGCCACTGTGCCTGGCCAAGATAACACATTTTTATTCCCAGTTCCTGCATTCAAGTTTCATGGTCTCTGTTGTAGTATACATGGTTGATGGCCTATTTGGTATCTGTCTCCCTTTCACCTTTTTAAATATCACTCCAATTTTCATTCATGTATTTTCACTCTTCACAAACACTTATACTTCACGAATGACCATCACAGCTTCAAATGTTTTAGTGCAGTAACACTCCCTTGTCAGATACTGTTTAGAACAAATCTTATACCTTAATTCTGACTAGTGAGTTTTGAGAAAAACAGCTTTGGAGATTTCTTGGGAAAAAAATTCTGTCTTTTAAGAGAAATAGGAAGCAAGAAATAGTCTGTTTGACTTGTGGATGTTTTGTGCCCAGATTCATGGTCCATTCTGCCCAGAACACTGGCTTCTACTCGAGTAGCAAGACAATGCAGAGAGAATAAATGAGAAAAAATCCGAGGAAAATGAAGCAAAGCCTGCTCTACTTCTGAATTTTCAGGTATGTGACTTATAGTTTGAGTTTAGTTTGATTATACTTGCAGCCCAAAGGACTCTAATTTATTCGCTAACTTCTAACTCAAAATATCTTGGTGATGCTTATTCTTCCTCTATATATGTGTTATCATATCTCAGTTTTCTATATTTATTAGAGAAAAATAGTAGTTATTTTCCCCTTGTAAAAACTTCCTATGTATGATAGAGGAGTGAAAGAAACATGTATATTAAAATACATAATACATTATAATGGCAACTGTAAAATTATAGAGAGACCAGTGCCCTTGAATTTGCAACTGAAATATAGTTACTTCTTCCCCTACCTCTTCTATATTCTACTTGAATTCACTTTGCACCTTTACTCGCATGGAGAAGCAAGGAAAATTCTCAATCTTAAGAAAAAAAAAGCCTGTCCACATTGATGGCAGAATAAAAGGCAGCCAACAAGAACCATTTCTCTTTCCTGGATACTCCTAAATACCCATCATATTTGTTCTGGAAGATCAGATCCAATAATCTAAAATACAAAAATCCTTTTCCATAATTTCCCCATTTATATTAAGATTTTCATAAAGGTTATGCTTTTAAATACAGTTTATGGTTTAATGAAACCATGATTAGAAGCCTATTCCCTTGCAATAAGCCCTCTAGGCTGATACTACTCAGAGAAGTTAAAATTTTCAAAGTGGGCTATTAGCTACAGTCCTGACAGACATGTTTAACTCCTCTACCATTACTCCTTTGTTCATGGCACTGGGTTTATCTGTATGATAAAGTGACAGATTATCTCTATGGGAGAAACAGCATCTTACCATTGAGATGCATTGTTCCCCAGCTTTCAGTGGACTTTGCTATGGTTTAGGGAAACAATCACTTACAGCCGATTGATAGAAAATAAGGTCAGTGAGTTTCACAAACAGCCCCCTCTTTATTTCTTTTATTTTGAATTGGTTTCTTGGTTGGATGCAGAGTATAAAGCATTGAGTAATTTCATGGATGAATGATATTGACAGCAGCAGGGAAAGTAACTTGAAATCTAGATTAAGTGTCTATTTGGTGCGGACAAATCTTTGCCCCCTTCATGATAGAAGGGGTCACATGTAATCAACCTACTATCAGAGAGCTGGCTGGTCCACTAATGCATGGTGTCACATAATGGATTTGGAGTTGGCCTCAGCAAGAGGAATAGCCAAGCCAAAGCCGATAAGGGAAATTTTCATATGGTTAAATGCATGAATCTGTCCCATGTCTTCCCTTTAACTACTTTGTTTCTTGAGCTCATTGTATGAACCCTGGCTTCGATGGGAAAGGAGGCTAATGGACATCCACAGAGGCTCACCATGTCCTTCTGATTATGAGAGACTGTTTTGCAATGGTGGTCTTCTGGTGCATATTCCCATAGGATACATATATTTTCAGACTGTAAGCCAGCACTTTTGAGGACATCTGTTGTGGAAGATTTGTGGGGTTGTTTGTTTAAACATCTAATTTGTCACAAACCAACAATTTTCTAGAACTGCTCTTAGTCTATTCTTAGATCGTTAGACACATACTCTTTCACCTAAACTTCTTGCCACAAAATCCTCTCATATTAATATTCCTTTATTAGATATATGACCAGACTATTTGTCACTGTCTAAGAATTAGTATGTATTGTGACCTGAGGCCATCTACCCCGTTGAAGCAAAGTGAAAAACAAGGTATCTTTTTTGAAGATCTGCCAATGGGAATATTTCTTTACTTTGTTATCTGACAATCTCCTAGAAGAGTTTTAACACTGCTCCAAAATGGATCTGGCTGGTTCTGCTATGTTGTGTGACGGTCTCTTTAAATCAGGCTCATTTTTCATCTTCATCAACTAGTCATTATACTGTAAAGTCATTATATAATGAGTGATGATGCACCATAGCTGTAGTTGTATAACTATTTATGATTTCAAGTTCTGTTTGGAACTAGTCTCTGATGAAATGCTGTTGCATGTGCTTAGCTAGAAATATTGGAAATCTTCTGGTTCACACTTCCATTCAAGTCCAGTGGTTATATGCTTTGCTATAATCAGGAGCTTCAACAAAACAATGGTTTCACACTAAATAGATCCTGACCTAAGAATCCTCTATTCCACTACTCTTATATATGGTTGCATCACGTACCACATATCACTTCAGTTTGCTGCAGATATATTGAACATTAACTTGCTAATAAGGAATTTGGCGTGGAAGCACCAGATCTTTAACACATCTTAAGTGTTGTATTTGTTACCTATTTCTGTATTAAAGAAAAATTACCCTGAAAACTTAGTGATTTGAAACAAATATTTATTCTTTTACAGTTTTTGTGGATGAGGAATCTGGGCACAGCTTAATTGAGTCCTCTGGTTCAGTTTTTTTCATAGGCCTGAATTGAAGTGTTGGCCAAGGCTGATGTCTTATTTGAAGGCTTCAATGGAGAAGAGAGGTGGAATCTGCTTCCAAGCTCATTCATGTGGCTGTTGGCAACATTCAGTTCCTTGAAGACTACTGGGCCGAGGGTCTTGGCTCTTTTCCTCACTGTTGGCCAGGGACTTGCTTTAGTCCTTTGACATGTAAACCTTTTCATGCCACAGTTCATAACATTATGGTTGGCCTCTTCAGAGTGAGCAGTTGAGAAAGGATAAAGGAAGCCAGAGTGTTGTATTGTAACTCTATTATAGAAGTGAAATATCTTTAATTTCACTATATTCTATTTGCTAAATACCAGTAGGTCCACTTCATACTCAAGATAATGGAATTAAAAAGGACTTGAATACAGGGAGGTAGGAAATCGTTGGGAGCCATCTTAGACCCTATTATGAAAGGCCTCCGCTTTAAGAATAAAACACTTTTGTCCATCTGATGAATGGAAGAAGGGTGTTTAAATATGGCATATGTCATCTGTAAAATTGAACAGCAGATATTAAATATCTTTAGTCAAATAAGTTATAGGCTGTGTCTTCAATTTGAAGCGCAAATCTCAGATCAGCCCAGACCAATATATTCTCAAGAACTTCACTGAGGTTGTAGTATTCTGTATTTGTTGTGAAATTTGTCTCGTATACACCATCATCCACATATTTTTGCATGTTTGTAGGGAACTTCTTACTTATACCTACCAGATCCTGTCAGAATTTCATCATTCATGTAATAAACCAGTCTGATGACTTGGTAGGCTCCAAAAGACCAGAGACTCTAGAGCAGGGGTGTCCAATCTTTTGGCTTCCCTGGGCCACATTGGAAGAAGAAGAAGAATTGTCTTGGACCACACATAATATACAGTAACACTGATGATAGCTGATAAGTTAAAAACAATTGCAAAGTACCTCATAATGTTTTAAGAAACTTTGCAAATTTGTGTTGGGTTGCATTCAAAGCCATCCTGGGTTACATGAAGCCTGCAGGCTGTGGGTTGGACAAGCTTGTTTTACAGTTTATAGACTGTGGCAAGAACAAAGTGTCAGAGCCTTATTGGTATGAAGTTCTCATACCAGATGCAAGAGGTTGGCTTTGGGTGTCTTCCTGTTCTAGAAGGGAGAACAATGTGTTTTCTAGATCAATTACTGTATATCAAGTGCCAAGGAGCATAAGTGGAAAAATAGTTATAATTAAGGCCACTACCCAATTATATTTATGGTAATATAAAATTGTTCTGTTAGTTCCTTCAGTCTTCCTTTCAGGCTAAATTAGAAAATTCAAACTTTGCTGATGAAGAAATAAAAAGGGTAAAGCACTTTTGGAAGATTCCAACATATTCCCTTGACAAGGACAAAAAAAGTGTCTAGCGGATTTTAGTATCATACAAGAATGAAGCATGAAGCAGTAGATAGGCAAAATACATGCATAGCACAGAATTCATAAAATTCATGCCTCCTAGTGTTTTTAAATCCTGTCCTCTGCATAATGACAAGGGATTTGTTAGACCTTTAATTGTAAGCTAGCTTTGGCCACTGCTAGATCAGGTTTGTATAGTTAATTCAGCATAGACTTGTAGCTGGTTGGTAAACTATCATACAGATTACAATATTTCATTGCAACAAATTCTGTCTGCTCCACATTTCTAATTTGCTATTATTGATTAAACACTTTCAGATTGTCTTGAGAGTTTTCATAACCTATGAACAAATATATACATTTTCTAATGGATTGTTACTTATGGCCAGAATGTTCATTGTAAGATTGCAGGAGGATACCACATAAAAAATGTTCGTAGGTATGTGCCAGTTAACATACCACTAAAAGGTTTTAGCTGAATAACATACCACTCAAAAGTTTTGTGACATAAAAAAAAAACACTTGATTAGACTCACAGATGCTGTGGGTTAGAAAATTGGAAAAGTCATAGTGAGGACGCATCATCTCTGATTTGTGGTCTCTGAAGTCTTAGCAGGGCAAAGTGAAGGCTGGAAATGATTCAACATTTTGGAGTTGGAATCACATGGATTTATCTTCACTTACTTGTCTGTGAGTTGATAGCTTAGGGCCAGAACACCTACACAAGGCCATTCTATGACTAGCTCTTACTTGGGCTAGTTTGGGCTTCCTTGTGGTGTGGTAGTTGTGTTCCAGAATCAGTATCCCAAGGGGAGTAGGGGAGGGTGGAAACAGAAGCTACAAGTTTCTTGAGGCCGAAGCCTTGAAATTTACATAGTGTAACTTCTGTCATATTCAAGTTAGGTATTTTCAAGCTCCTGATTAGTGGAAGGGAATAGGTGACCTACGTGTCTCAGTGGTAGAAATATCAAAAAAGCCGGGGTGTAATGTCTCACATCTGTAATCCCAGCATTTTGGAAAGTCAAGGTGGGTGGATCACTTGAGATCAGGAGTTAGAGACCAGCCTGACCAACATGGTGAAACCCTGCCTCTACAAAATACAAAATTAGCTGGGCATGGTGGCAGGTGCCTGTAATCCCAGATTCTAAGGAGGCTGAGGCAGGAAAATCACTTGAACCTGGGAGGCAGAGGTTGCCGAGCTGAGATTGGGCCATTGAACTCC